GTGGGCGCGCGGTTGGAACCATCGGTTGACCATCGATACCGTTCGACGATCGATACATGACTCGATGATCGTTGGCCAAACTAAAAAAAAGAAGAAAAAAAGACACCCCCATCTTCTAAATACAAGTTCGTATCGCAACGCGGATATCGATGATCAATTTCTCAACGCATCGACTCGGCACGAGAATACGAGTTGTCTTCGAGATCACAGATTTTCGATGAGAAATGATAAGGAGATTCGCGTGCCGGTTAAAGAGCGTTTTAAGAGCGAGTTTACTTACTTGCTCTCTTTACGCGCGATTCAATTCTCGATGAATAGAAAATTCTTGCCGGTTCCACAGAGTCGCCCACGATGGAACGAAGATAATAATAGAAATGTTACGAACCACGATCGACGAGCGTGCAGTAAATGTCCAGCGAAACGTCGGTGTACGCTGCGCTCGCGCGTGCTACGCATCGATTACGTCAGTCTCTGTGAGCAACGAGGAATGTTGGGAAGTAGTAGAAGATTATATACACACACACATATACATATATATATATATATATATTATATATATTTATATATAAGATATATATATATATATATTTTTTCAGGATGGATAGAAAATGTAGATGTAACCATGGTTGGGAAGGCTGGTGGTGGCAACTGAAACAAGTAATCGAAATAAAACAAACGACGTATTTGAACCAAACACAAATCAGTTTAATCCTTAAATAAAACATAATTTCTGTTATGTTATATAATAATTAAATAAATAAATAAATAATCGGTAGAAGTAGTAGTAGTGTAGAAGTAGTAGTAATAGTAGTAGTAATAGTAATAGTAGCAGTAGCAGTAGCAGTAGTAATAGTAGTAGTAGTAGTAGTAGTAGTAGTAGTAGGAGTAGTAGTAGTAATAGTAATAGCAATAGTAGTAGAAGTAGTAGTAGTAGTAGTAGTAATAGTAGTAATAGTAGTAGTAATAGTAATACAGTAAGTAATAGTAACAGTGATGGTGGTGGTGGTGATAGTAGTAGTAATAGTAGTAATAGTTATAGCAAATAGTTATAGCAGGTGAGAAAAAGTAATGATAATAAGATGTTAAAGTGAGTAAGACGTTCTTTTCTTCACTGTAATGAAAAAGGTGTTAAGATTTTACACATAACTACTAGACGAGAGACACAAAAAATATATACGATCATAATTAATAATAGCAATAATAATAATAATAGTAATAAAAATAATAATAATAATAATAATAATAATAATAATAATAATAATAATAGTAATAGTAATAATAATAATAATAATAAAAATAAAAATAATAGTAATAATAATAAAAATAATGATGATGAGGGATGGTGATAATGTTAATGATGATGACGATAACGATGATAATAATGAATAATAATAATGACAATGATTATGGTAGCAATAATAATAATAATAATAATAATAACCAGAATAATAAGTATAATATACATGATAATAATTATGAAAAGGAAAAAATTTATCATTTAATATGATAAAAAACATTGAAACTGTGATTTCTTACACACGATTCGTCCCCCGTTTTAAAAGATGATCAAAAATTATCCTTCGCCTTCGAACTCTTCAAATTTCCCCAAAAACAATTCGGATTACAATTGTATATATAGTATATCTCTCCTGTGTACGCACCATTGTATTCAGCTACGCAAACTCCTCCCTCTGTTAAAAGTCATCCTATTAATTATTTCTTTTTTTTTTCACTAATTTTTCACAGCAAACCACGTTCGTGATCGGCGCAAGAAGCATCGATGCAACGAGGGGCGAATCGTTTCAATCGAATTCTTCTTTATTTCTGACGCCTGTAACACACGCCACTGCACGCGACGACACCGGTATGCTATTGTCAGCCGACCGGCGTTTAATTTGCACTAATCATCGAGATCCTTTTTTCGTCCCGTGGACGCGCCGATCGTATCGTCATCCTCCGATCCCCCGATCGAATGGAACCAGGGTGTTACGCGTCTCGCACGACCGACTGTTCACGAGTTTTTCAAATAAATAAAATAAAATCTTAGCAGAAAGCAAGTTGTTGCTTGAGGTTCAAATTACGTTTTTTTTTTTTTTTTTTTTAGAGGGAGGACGGACAGGTATATCGTATGCGCTCTTAAAGAGCATCTTCTCTTTGAAACGAACAGCCTGTTCCTCGCTCCCAGACTAGACACAGAAGGTACACATAAATAGGACAATATATATATGTGTGTATATACATATATATGTATATGTATATATGTATATATACATATGTATACATATATATATATATATATATATAAGCTACGCTTTTTTTTCTCTCTCTCGCGTTATACTAAACCTAGGAGTTTAAGAAATTCTCACGATTAAGTACTTTACGATCCGTGTTCATTCGCGCTAGTCACTATTATGAATTAAAATTATTTAACAGAATGATCGAAATTCTTGTCCAATTTTTCTCTCGTTTTCGTTTAAGAAAAAGATCTGTCGACTTCTTCTTCGTAAACACGTTCGATTCCATCCAGGATTAAATTACGGGCCAGCGCGAGGGAAACGGTTCGCTTACCTTATACATCGTACCATCTAAATCGCGCCTTCTTAGATATCGTCCGTCTGATTTGCTTACTAGTCTAAAAAAAAAAAGAAAGAAATTTTTTTTCGTTCTCTGTGTGGAGAGGTTTTTCAACGGGTGGGGGGTGGGGGCGCCATACATTTTCTTATGCATCGACGCCTCTTTGCACGTAGACTAGACACATGTTTCCCGACGATCCGGAATCATTCGTCGATCATCCTTTCTCGATCTGTCCGTGTATCACATATCCGTGCACCGTCGCGAAATATTTCTTTAACCGTTGTTCCTTCTTCGTTGCGGAAGGAGCAGTCTTGCAGTAGCAAGAAAAGACACAACGCGTCCAATCCGCGTACCATGTATATAAGTAAACCGTCTCTCTATGAAATATTACTTTGTACGTTGGACTTTTTTTTCCTTCAATATTTTTCATTAAAAAAGGGAAATCGAACGTTCGTGTTTATAAAAATCGGAATATCTTTGTCGCCACGGAGGGAGGAACATGTTTCGTTCACTTTCTCCCCCGTTGCAACCAAAGTATTTTTTTTTTTGGTATGTATAAGTATCTATGTGTACATGCGCACATGTATATATTAATATATTCATATATATATATATATACGCGCGTGTGTGTGTGTATTTTGGTTAAAAATTTGGCTGACAAAATTCTTCTAAAACGTCCAAATAATGGACGGTGCACATTCGAAGGACACTAATAAGCAATGCTCGGTAAAATCAGACTCTGCACTCAAGAAAGCACTTTGTACTAGCTAAGATTTCTTATACATACGTACATATCAACTATACGTAAAGAAAGAGAAAAAGTCAAAAACGAAAAAAAAAAAAAAGAAAAGAAAAGAAAAGAAAAAAAAGGCAAAAAAAAGGAGAGAGAAAAAAAAATAATAATAAAACAAAAAAGAAAAAAAAAAAAAAGTTGGATATTCTTTGGGCAATCGACAGAGAAGTATAAGAGCTTGTGTGACTAGCAAAAAAAGAAAATTAAGTACAACGCGTTTGCTGCGTTACAATGAAACGTGACGTAATCCCTCGGGTCACTGTTAATAACGTTTCGAGCTTTAGTTCTGTCGCGACATCGCATTGCAATATATATAGCACGTAAGCCCTAAAATATCTTCTTAAATAGATAATAATAATAATTATTATACTTCGTCTTTCGATACTTGTCGAACAATCGCTCGTCCTTAATTCAACTACAGATTAAGAAAGTTTAGCTTCCTTTAAGTACGTTTAAGTCTCACTGGTTGGACAGGAAAAAGAAAAAGGGGAAAAAAGAATAATCGCTTGTAATTAACAACTAGTTTTACCACTCTCTTCGTCACTCTTTCGCGTTTTCTTCGAAAATCGTGCAACGAGAGTTCTGATACGTACTAGTTTCACTAATTTTTTTTTTTTTTTTTTTTTTTCTCCGACTATTGATATTCCCGTTTCTCTTATATCCTCTACCAGAGAGCTCTACTTGTCGTCTCTTGTCGTTACTTCGATCGATCTATCGATCGTCCCCGTCCCGTCCTCGCTCGCAACACGTCTCCATCGTCCCCGCCATGTCATTCTATTCTCTATCCGTTCATTCATCCCTCCTTTCTACAACACCATTCCCCTATAACCATCTACTACTGCGCACTCTTCTTTTTTTTTTTCGTTCTCTATGTGTGTGTGTGTGTGTGTGTGTGTCTCTTAATCCTTTTCATCGTAATCGATATAAGTAAGCCAATCTAATTGGAAAAACGCGAGATACCGTCGTGTTCTCTCTCTTTCTCTCTTTCTCTCCGTCTCTCTATCTCTCTTCGTTCCCTCGTGGATGATCTCGAGATTTTAGAAAAAAATTCCATCAGGTCCCGCCTTTTCTTAAATTTCACATCAATCTCGTAGCATGACGTCGTTGCGACTTTTTGATCGAGCAGAGAGGAGACGCCCCTCCCTTCATTTCACTTGACAGATATATTTCACTCTTTTCTCCTCAGATTCGGAAATATTCGCCAATTCGCGTGGCTCGTGCACTCGCGTACATAATACATAAATCGGCAAAACGTATGTACAATATTCGCAGCGGTCACACGAGCCACGTTTTATCGGCCACGAACATTCCTTTCTCTCTTCATCGTCACTTTAATTATAATCCGTTGATTAATCCAGGGATTGAGCGATTCGCAAATTCCTCGCCGAGAGGTGGAAACAAGGCAGGATCTCGCGTTATCCTTTCGTCATGGACGACGATAGTACAGGGGGGGGAGAAAGAAACGAGCGAGCAGAGATGAGGAGAGAGGGAGAGGGTAAAAGTAAAGCGAAGGAAAGAAAGAAAGAAAGAAAGAAAGAAAGGAAAGCAAGAGCTTCTCCTCTCCCTTCCCCTTTCGATCCAACACGCCCCTGTACACAGTTAGATAAATCGAACGACTGGAACACATCACGACCTACCTCTCTCCGTCTTCGCCATCTCTTCCTCCTCGTCTCTCTGCATCCCTCCCCCGCTCAGCCACGCGCAGCCTACTACACACGCATCGCGTAACCCTTTCTCGTACAGACGCACGTATACACGCACCACACGCGCACGAGTATCTCTTATCATTCTCCCCTTTCTTCTATCTCTCACTCGCCTCCATTCTTCCCTTCTTTTTTTTTTTTTTTATTTTTTTTTTTTTTCCCCCTCTCTCAACCGAGTTTTCTCCAGGGAGCTCTCAGCATCCATTTATTTATTCTAGTCGGAATTGTATTCGTCATCGTGGTTCTCGTAATCGTATCTGCCGCCCCAACGACATCTCTTCGACGAGGTCATACCCCTAATTATCATTTCATAGCCGGACATTGAGTTGTAACCTTTCAACGGATGATACTGGTTATGTAACTGTTGATGGTAGTTATGGCGGTGGTGGTGGTGGTGGTGGTGGTGGTGGTGATGGTGGTGATGGTGATGGTGGTGGTGGTGGTGGTGGTGATGGTGGTGGTGGTGGTGGTGGTGGTTATGATGGTTCTCTCCGCGATCACGACTGTTCAGGATGTTGATCACGGAATCAATGGGGAGATGGTGGTGGTCGATCTTCTTAGTGGAAGCATAGGCAGTCGCGAGCGCTTGGACGGTCGCGGGCGTGACCAGGGCCGCAGCCGCAGCCGCGGCCGCAGCGGCGGCGGTCGCTGTGGCGGCGACCACCGCGGCTGCCGCGGTCGTTGAGCCGAGGATGACCTTTGTAGCGGTCGCTTGACCGATCATGGCCGCGGCTGCCGCCACAGCCGGCGTAGCTGCTGCCGCTACTGCCGCCGCTGCCGCCGTTGTTCCCGCTGCCCGATGATGGTGGTGGTGATCGTGATGCTGCTGTTGCTGTTGCTTGTCGTCCTACGCCGCCTTGCTCTTGTTCGTCTTGAAGCTCACTTGAAGAACCCGGTTACCGAGCGTGTAACCGTTCAAGCTCTGGATGGCGACCACCGCCTCGTCATAGTTGGTCATCGTCACGAAACCGAAGCCTTTGCACTTGTTCGTCTGCAGGTCGCGGATCACTTTGACCGATTGGACGGCGCCGAACGGACCGAATAACTGCCACAGCACGTTCTCCTCGGTCTCTGGGGCGAGATTATACACGAAGATACACCAGCCGGAACCATTCATCGCGTTCCCGGGTAGCATCGAGTTTGCCAAGAGATCGCCTGCCAGCGGGCTGTACCTGAAACAGTTCGATTCGTCGCTCGTGAAAACGTTACACCCGGTTCGAACAAATTTTTTTTTGCTTCGTGCTTTCATCGATGAGTCGTATCGTCGTATCGTCGCCCCCCGCGATACAAGGCAAGAAAAAACGTTCTGCGTTTTGCGGGGTTGCGTCGTTCATTCTCCAAACGAAATCACCAAGTTGAAATTGTTTCGAACTTGTCGATTTCGCGCGAATTTATTATTTTCCCCTATATTCTCCATCGATTTACAAAAGAATTTCTTTGTATGCGAACGCCGCTACTCAATGCTACGATAATTTTTTACTGTTCGTATTAAAAAAAAAGAAATAATAGACGAAACTTTCATTATTGATTGTATCGACCGGTCGTGTACACATTGCCAGTTTATGAAAAAAAAATTATAAAATATTTTTTAAAAATAATCGAATAAATGCGATTCGGCCGAAAGATTTTCCTTTGCAATACATCCCTTTGATCTTATTATTGTAAAAAAAAAAAAAAAAAAAAAANAAAAAAAAAAAAAAAAAAAGAAAAATATCATATTAAAGTCGTGCAAACATTATACCATATAAAGTCACTCACATTAAAAAAAAGAAAAAATCATCGTTAAATCGTGCTTGAAATTCGGTGAAAAAAAAGAAAAATGGCACAAACAGACCGTGTGTTAATCGAACGACATTAATTATCGCGTTGCAAAAAAAAAAAAAAAAAAAAAAAAAGAAAAAAAAAGAAAAAAAAAAGAAAAGAAATCGTTCCGCTTTCGTTGAAATTAATCGTCGACAGGAGACTCTTGGAAGAAGTAATCGTTGCGCAAGACTGCATGCAATTCTACGCTAAAAGCGTCCTAAACGAATTAGGCGCGGCTCGATGCTAACTACTTGACTTTTCAAATTTCTTCAATTTCTATTAATTAAAAAACGAGAACGAAGAACGGCGCAAGGGATGAAAAAGTAAGGGGAAGGGGGGCGATAGAATCGTAAATGAATAATCGAGGGGAGGGGAAATCGCATGCACCCGGGCGGCATCGTTAAATCGGCATGCTGAAAATTACGGTCGAATGCGAGGTCGGAAATGAAAAAAAGGAAAACACGTTTACGAGGTGGGATATATTTACAGAGATGTAAAAATGTAATCTACGTACCTACTTGACGTCACAAGCCGCGTTAAAACAGGGCACATCTCAGTGAGTATTCATTATAGGGCCGAGGTGACAGTAATTACGCACGCATTCGTTACGAACGCTCATTAGGAATCGCGTGTTTTTTTTTTTTCTTTTTTCTTTTTTTATACGCACGCGTATGTACAACGCGTCTGCAATAGTTGGAAGTGTGGTTTTTTCCTTTAACGAACGAACCCTCGAACGAACCCTAAACTCGATTCAGTTTTTTTTGTCTCTTCGTTTTATTTTCATCCTCTTTTCTTTTTCCTTTCTTTCTTTTTTTTTTTATTATTAATTATTATCGTTCATCGAAATATATATATATATATATTTCTTTCTTTCTTTTTTTTTATTATTAATTATTATCGTTCGAAATATATATATATTTGATAATTGATAAAAGAAAAGAAGTCAAATGGAATGATCGAGTTAAAGGTTCAAGTTGGGTCAAGTTGTTTAATAGAAGCGAGGCGTTCTCTCGTGAAAGAAGAATCCACGTGTTTCGTTTAACTATCCGATATATGTGTATATATATATATATACACTCGTTCGACTATCGTTTGGTTAATTTTATATATTTGTAGAAACGTTCGATCGGAAATATATCTAATTTCTCGGAATCAGAATCTAAAAGAAGGATCTACAATTGAAACATCGAAAGAAACGAAAAATTTATTTATTATAGACGATCGATCGTTTCAATTACGAAAGTCGACACATCGGTGCATTGTTCTCTAACGATAATCAAGTGCGATTCTCTTGCAATGGTGTGTGCCAACAAAAATACATATATCTATATATGTATATATATATGTATGTATATCTATGGTTCACGTGAATTCACGTGATTGCTTTTTCAGAGATCGTGCACCTAACGTTGTTCTCAGCTCAACACCAATAATCTAACCAACGATCTTTCAATAAATATCGCTACTCTATTAAATGATCTACCATTGAACATTGTCGCTCGATGCGAAAATGATTCGTGTCTTTTTTCCATACGGATATTATACATATTCGTTTATTCGTCAATCGAATGATCGAATTATCCTCTGTTAATTTTTGGAAAAAATGGACGATTGATCGTCGGCGGAGAGGCCAAGAAATCGCAGGTGCACAGTCTTTTGAGTCGAACACGACCGATGAAGGCAAAGAATCAAAGAAAAGAAATAGTGAAGAAGGAGAAGAAAATGCGAGCCTGTCGAGGAACGTTGATTCGAGTCTCTATTTGCAATTTTTTTTCTATTTCTCCTTTTTTTTAAATTCCTTTTTCCTTTTTTTTTTTTTTTTTTTTTTTCTCTCTCTTAGACAACGAGACGATCCGTAGTTTCGCGAGAATGATTTTAATTCTATGATTTTTCATTCTTCTTTCGACAACGATTGAAAAATCGGTCGAAATCCGTCTGTACAGTCCGTACATGTGTGACTATGTTACATTACTCTTAATCAGGATATTATTCAGAAGCTTGATTGAAAGCTAACAGGTTAAAAGAAAAAAGAAAATTCTACGGTTTGTATTGAAATAGAATCGAGTAAATCAGAGTGAAACGTATACTTGAAACTCGCGAAACTGAGAACAAAAATTTTTTTAATTCTTCGTATAGAACGTAGAGATGATTAGAAAAAAAAAGAAACGAGGTAATCGAAAAAAGAGAGTAGAGGCATGTTTCGTTCTTTCTTTTTCTCTTCCGAGTACCAAAGGAAATTGTGAAAAATTATGAATCGTGAAATTGCAAACCCGAATCGATTCGCATTCTCGAGAAAGCGGTAAGATATGCTTTGTGACGTTTTGTGGGTAGAGAAGCGTTTGAAGGATGACAATTAAAACGAAACGAAAGGCAACGAAGAAGGCAAAGAAGAGAAGAGAAAGTAGAATAGTGTGAGTCGAGAGGGGAAGAGAGAAAAGGCCTTAAAAATTTCATATAAGACATATAATGTTATCGAAAAAGAAAAATAAATTTCGATCAATTTCGACAAATATAAAATATTTATAACTTCGGTGAACAATCGATTAATACCGCGATTAAAAATATACGTACAATGTAGAATTTCGAGCGTATAATTTACGGGGAGAAAAAAAAAAAAAAAGAAAGAAAGAGAAAAAAATAAGATAAAAAAAATCTTGGTTCAAATTAAAAAAGAAAAAAAAAAAAAAGGAAAAAAGATCGCACCATATGAAATTTTTAACGCGGAGCGTGTGTGGAAAGTAAGAGAACGAAGCCACGCAAGAATTAGAAATCAATCATCGAAAAAATGAAAAACCGGGAGGGAACGTAGTGGTAGTAACGAAAAAAATACTGACCTCTGTAAGCCTTTGTTAATGGCAAGCATGGCCTTGCCAGTGCTAAAACAAAACACAAAAAGAACAACGTAAGAAGAGAGATACTCCGGGAACGAGCCAATAAAATCGGGATAAGAGTCAGTCGCTTCCTTGTGCTTCCGTTTTCTTTTATTTTTTTATTTTTTTTTTTTTCTTTCTTTCTTTTTTTCTCTCACGGAACTACCATCTATGGTGCCTCTCCGTTTTCTTTTCTCACCATGGATAACGCAATAGACAAGGACAGAAATAGACAGATACAAGAACAAAGAATAAAAGAAAAATAAAGAAGATGAAAGAAAAAGAGAGAGAAAGAGAAAGAGAAAGAGATAGAGAGAGAGACAAAAAAATGATTAAAAAAATTCGAACAAAAAGTAAGAAAGATAGAAAATGGAAAATTCTGGGAAAATTTTTTCCTTTTCATTTTTTTTCTTTTTCTTTTTTTCTTTTTTTTAAAGGAAAGGAGAGACGAGGAAGCGTATAAAGTCCAAGGTTGCGGCGACGCGATATCGATTCGAAAGGAAATGAAAAAATACGGAATAGAGGCAAGCGAAAAAGCGAAGCGTATTATCAATCTACTATATCTCTTTTTTTTTTTTTTTTTTTTTTAACTTTCTCTTTTTTTAATTGAGATACTATTCGAATCGTCGAATCTACGTATTCGATTCGAACGATCGAATCGTTAAAACGAGTTTCTCAATTTTTCTCGCGTTCGACTGACATGGACATACAGACGGACCTGAAGTATTTGCGTATATATATATATATATATATAAATATATATATATATATATAACAATCCGAGTTTGTTAAATAATGTTTGAAAAAAGACACAAGGGAAAAAATTTTAATCGTCATCTTCGTTCGTTATTATATCGTGTCTTGGAATGATAATTTTTCTTTTTTTGTTTTTTCTTTTCACGCGTCTTTTTTGCAGAGGCACAGAAGCGCGGAACGAAGGAGAGACGAGAAATTATATATACGTTTATTTCTAGTCTGTTCGCTATCGACGTTTCTCAACTCCATTTTAATTGAATTCGTCGTCAGCCTCGCATCCACGGTAATGTTTCCGAGGACCAGAAATTCCGTCCTCCCGACTTCTACGAATGAAAAATTATTCAACAAACAATTTTCATGTTCACAATAATTATTCAAATCATATGTCATTCGTGCTAGAAAAAAAGAGAGAGAGAGAGAAAAAAAAAAAAAAAAAAAAAAGAGTGAGTGTAAAATCATATCGACGAGCCAGCTTACCGTGGATCGCGAAGACAAAAAACCAAGAAAACTTACAGAAATAACAGAACGTTTGTATGTGCCTTGCTCCTCCATGTTTCCAGAGTGGTCAAGGATCAGTCTTCTGTGTTTGCACGCGCGATTAAATGCGACTCTTTTCGTGTGTATTAAATTCGACTTATATCTAAATAATTAGTAATTATTTTTTAGATAGACCACCTTGTACCACTCGTTCATCGGGAAAGGGAGATCGGACGGGTGATCTTTGAAGGGATGGAGTAAAAAACAAAAAAAAAAAAAAAAAAAGAATCAAGTAAAAGATATCGAAAGAAAATCAAAGAAATAAATTGGCTGATGTTGATACGTCGAAGAAAGGTCGAATTACCGAACGTTTATCTTTTTAAACGTATATCGATGATTCATCAAGTATCATGTCCATCATTTCGATTGGATTAAACCTTGATACATGCATACGGCGAACACATGTTGAAATATTGATATCGAAACATCGATTCCACGGTCGATCGAAAGATATCTAACGAATATTTGAGCGTGAATACTTGTTCGAACTGCAATCTTTTTTTATTACACGAGAGTTTATCACGATTTATTCACGATTTTTCATCACAGTTTCTCGAAATTCGATCGTTTTTTCACAACTTCGGCCCGCGTAACATCGTAACAACGACCATTCTTCACGATTCGATGAAAAGATCGATGCCTCGAAGAGAAATTGTGCGCTCGAAGATACGGGCAACGTGAAACTTTAACCGCGGCGGAACATGCTCGCGCGTAAATGAATACCGAATCGGCGAATTTGAGACGAAAAGAAAGAAAAAGAAAAAAGGAAAGAAAAAAAAAAAAAAAAATGATTGAAGATGAGGTAGTAGATCATATGGCAGATGAGGTGCAGAAGGAGGAGCCTGCAGTGTACTCAGGTACTCAAACGGTGAGTGCGTAAACAAAGAGAAAGATCGTACAGATTATTCCATCGATCGATCGATCCTTCTTTTCTTTACCAACCTATAAACAATTTAAATTTCTTTCCTTAAAACTTTTACCGATCATCGATCGATCGACGCGATCTGCACTTAAAAAAACTTAAAAAAAAAAAAAAGAAAGAGAAATTGAAAAGAAATTGAATCGAAAATAAAGAGAAAAAGAAGAAGAAGTAGAAGAAGAAACAAAAAAAAAAGAAGTAGAAGAAGAAGAAAGAAAGAAAGAAGAAAAAGATATAGAAGAAAATAAAACAGAAAATGATAAGTAGAGATAGAGAGAAAGAGAGAGAGAGAGAGATCTTTGGGTAGAGCGAGTAGAGGCGAGTAGGTACCTGGATAGTGGCGACAGTGGAATGTACCTGAAGCGGCCGGTTGGATGGTGGATTGGGCCGCCATATCGTCGGGTCGCCTGCGGTGTCAGATAGGCCAACGGCGGTATCGCCTTGTTGTTGTTGCTCGGATTGTTGGCGAACTTGACGGTGATCGGCTCGGACGAGCCCTTCGGAATGGTACCGTTTAATTCTTGGATCGCCCTCTCGGCCTCGACCCGCTGGTCGAACCTTATGAAACCGACCCCTTTCGACAATCCTGTCGGTAATCGGTTCAAGTTATTCAACGGGTCCATCATCTTCTCTGTGAATTTTTGTTGGACGAATATATCGGGCAACGAAGCGACAACATTGCCAGATTCCTCGTTGACTGTTGAGTGACTACGCGTACACGCGTCCGATTCTTGCAAGGAAAAGTTATTTTTCCAATGGTCCAAGATGTTCCGGTTAAATCGTAAGCAATTAATCGTTTTTTGAATATAAAAAACAATGTATTATATTATTGGATTAAATAAGTTGGAACGAAAGCGGCGTGATATGATATAGCGGCGCATCACTCCCTCGCAATGAAATTGGATAATTTTATCATATAAGGGAAGTTTTATCGAGGAAAATGCTCATGAATTTAGATTAATGTTAGTTGTATCTTCTATATATATATATACATTATATATATAAAAGATAACGGTGCAATTTAGTAGGAAAATCTTGGAACAGTTAAAAAAAATGTTAATAACAAGGAAATAATCCTTTCACAAAATCCATCGCATTGCAATTCTTTTAATAATAATAGGAATAGAAATCCAATTCGTCGAAGAAAGTTGCCTTTGCATTAACGATACTTGTCGATTTCTAATAAATCGATCGTGAATGCTAAACGAACCTTCTTCTTGCAAATATTTTCCACCCCGTGATCAACGACGAATTCTGTGTGGAATGCAATCAAGTGCATTCGAACGAGTGGCTCGGTGCGCGCAGATTCGTTTCTTTACACCGATGTCGCGTGTTCTCGAGTGAGTCGATCATGTTTTCTTCCATTCAAGCTGAATGAATTTGATAACGCGCTAAAAAGGGGTGTGAAAAGGTGTATTTATGCGTGTATACGTGTGTATGTGTGTATGCGTATGTGTGTTTTGCGTGTGTAGGTATGTACCATGAGTCGAGGGCACGGTCGCAAAATAATAATAATAATAATAATAATAATAATAATAATAATAATAATAATAATAATAATCATAATCATAATCATAATCATAATAATAATAATAATAATAATAATCATAATCATAATCATAATCATAATTATAATCATAACGAACGACAAAAAGCGTAAAGAAACAAAAACGGCGCTCAGGAGGAAAAGTTCGGTTTTGTAACTGTTGCGGTCACGTGAACAAAGCAGCCAATAAAAAAAAAATAATAATAAAAAGAAAAAAAAATATAATAAAATTGAAAAGAAATAAAATATAGAAAGCGATATTTATTTATTTTTTTTCTTTTTTTTTTTTTTTTTCTTAATCGTAAATAGTCGATCGTTCGATCCTCGCGAAACGAAAAATACTTGAAGAAAAATATTGGTATGCTTGTTTCTAATTTTCTTTCTGTTGACATTGTAATTATTTATTAATGGGTGACAATCTAATTGTTTCGCGAGTTGAACAAAAATTAAAATATAAGAAAAAAAAAAAAAAAAAAAGGGTAAAAATTAAAATAGAGAAAAACGGCTGCTTTTGTTTGAGCTGGACGTAATAAGGGAAAAGAAAAAAGAGTTGTATGAGTTACGTACCGGGCAAATAGTCTCCGCCGCCGGTCACAAACTGTCGTACTAAACAGAAACGAAAAAAATCATATCACGTTAACAGTCAACTGACAGCATAAACGATTCGCTCGCCCCTGATTCGTCTAGGTGGGAGGATATGTAATAATAATAATAATAATAATAACAACAACAATAATAATAATAATAACAATAACGAATAATTAAAAGAAAGAATAAAAATTAACAATTAAAAAAAAAAGGAAAGAGAATAAGAAAAAAAAATAGTGTAAAGAAAGTAAAGACAGAACGTTTTTTTCTCGGAAAGAATCATGATTGACTCATGATTAATCGGAAAAAAAAGAGGGAGAAATAAATTGAAAATGGATTCAACACTAGTAAAGAGAAAAAATTCGTTCGTTTCATAATTAAATATCATAACGTTTCCAATATTTATATGATTTTCATTTTTTTTCATGATGTTTAAATAATTAAAATAATTGGTATACGGTGTTTGAAAAAAATAATAAAACAAAATTGGTCGCAATGAGATGAATAAGGGGCGAGCGATCTTTCTGTTAAAAAATTTTACGCTATTCCTTTTTTATTTTTATTTCTTTTTTTTTGTCCTTAAGTATGCAAAAAGTTTCAGTTTCATTTTTCAGTTGTAAAACGCAAAGAAGCAAACAATTCTCGAAGAAGTAAACTGAAAAAATGCAAGGAAAAGAAACGCAACAATAACGAAAAAATATAAATTGACCGTTCGAGTCGAGGATCGCACTGTGGACCGAAATATAATAAAAGCAAGCCAGGAACGAAGGAAGTAACAGAGGAAGGTTTCCACACGTGTCCTAACACTGAAACCAATGTCTCAACGTATTAAAAAACAAAAAAAAAGTCAAACGAAATCAATGGAATCGTAGTAAACATTAATGGAAGAATCATTCAAAAGTCAATCAAACGATATTACGAAAAAAGGAGAAGAAAAAAAAACGAAAAAAATAGAATTCATTAACTCGGTGCACGATGGTAACGAATGTATCGATACAAGATACATATATATATATATATATATATATACACATATCGGAGGAATATAATAACAAAAATAGCCAATGTGGATATAAAAGAAATATAAGGGTGGCATAGGCCATGAGGCTGTGCGTGAAACTGGGGATGCAAATAGAATGCACTGCTAACAAAAATATAAGCTGAGAACGTAAACAATAACGAGCGAAAAAAAGACAAAAAAGTATGGAATCAAAAACGAGAGTTTGCGATCGTGTGTCCTCTCGAATGATCTCGAATACAAAGTGTCCTCTGTTCGATTGCAATAGTATCTAACGACGTAAGGAAAGACAAATAGTTGAACATATAAAAGGACGAAAAAAAAGAAGAGAGAAAAAGAGAGAGAGAGAGAAAAAGAAAAAAAAATAACAGGAAAGAATTAACATAGATCGGAATGAAAAGATGCGTAAACGAGATCACGCAGCTCCGAGACGACATCGACCAACATCGAAAAGTGTGTAAATACAGCGTTTCACGTCCGCTGGCTAAAATTTAATTAAAATATTCGTCACTCGTTCACCACGATCGTGTCCGTTCTCGCTCTGATTGCAGGCGCACCGATCCACCCCACAATACGACTAGAACCCCATGGCCTACTCTTTTCTTTTTTCCTTTTTTCTTTTTTCTTTAATCCTTGATCACACAGAGAAGCTTTCTAACCAATCTTCTACTCAAGAGGCACGGGTCTGACTCGTGCGATCCCAATCTACTTTGCTCTCGGAACAAAGTGAAGAGGTACGGCTGTTTCCCCTACAATTCCCGTATTCCATGGCCTTCCACAGGGCACGCGACATAATACGCTACTGGCCGATACGATCCTCGTCAGTTGTCAGGGAATTTAACAACTTACCGGTGATGTTGTCGCAAAGTATCCGCGACGTGATGATTCTGCCGTACGGGCTGAATAGATTCTCCAGATCTTGTTGCGTCATGTTCTTCGGCAAACCGCTCACGTACAAGTTTGCACCTTTGATCGCCTCGCTGCTCGGTCTCGCGTACGATACCTGTGTTCAAGGTATAATAATCGTTAATTGGGACAGATAATCGAGAAATTTCACTACTGTTTGCAACTTTCTTCTGCGATCTTTTTGATTTTTCTTTTTCTTTTCTTCTTTTTCAGATCAATTCGTGATGGCGCATTTTCAACCATTTAAAAGATGGTAAGTTGATTCTCTTCTTTTCTTCGAAGAGACATATATATATATATATATATATATTATAACATCGCAACGTTCATAAAAATGTGAGGAAGAATTTTGACTGTTCTCGTACAGTTAATAAATAGCAGATGCGATAATGTCTTTGAATTCACGCCAATCTATTTCGATCATTGCAACACTGTGGCGTATCGTGCGTAATCTCGCTTGAGAGACATTTTCTGAAAATTCTTGTCGATAAAACCGATTCGAAAACCGTATCACTCCGTAAACAAAAGCGATATACGAATAGAATCTTTTCGCAAGATTTGTTCCCGATATTTTTGTTCCCGAGTCACGACCAATTTGTTTTTAACTATTGTAAATATTTTAACCATAACAAACTATGCGCGAAATCTAAGCATATATATATATATAACGAAAAGCTAGAAGTTAATCCAAGATTAAATTCATAAAAGTATCGCGTGTTTTACTTATAAATAGCTGACAGAGATCATTACGAACTTTTGACTCGAATCTTTCATGAAAACTCTAGATATCGTGCTCGCTCGCTCGCTCGCTCGCGCGCGCGCGCGATTCAGTATTTACTTCCAAATGCTAATCTAGAAGGATCCTTATAAATAGATAGTTCACTATGTTCATCCAACTAGGGAGAACGAACCTTGATCGTTTTATTTTGCAGACGAAGACCGTTGAGCGTGTTTATCGCCTTCTCAGCATCCTCAGGCCGGTGATAGTTAACGAAACCGTAACCTAAACTCTGACCTGTAACACAAAAGAATACCGTCGAATTAAAGCATCTTGCGTTTAAAAAAAAAAAAAAAAAAAAAAGGAAAAAAGGGAAAAAAAGAATCTCCTTCTCCTGTTAAACCGATATTTCCGATAAATAATAATAAGTGATACAAAGGGACGAAAGGGACGATAGGGGCTCGAGAGAGACAAAGAGAGAGAAAAAATTCACAAACGATAAATGTCTCTCTGAACGTGTTCGTTCATTGAGTAAACAGATACAACGACAGCGGCGAGTGTTTTTCGAAAACAGGAAACGCAGACGGTGCAATACGGCCCTGAGATCGCGCGGCGAGGTCGAATATAAAGCGGCAGAGGCTCAAACCAAACGACGCCCCCGCTACTCCGACGCTCGAAATAGCGTCGCGACGTCCACGCACGTGCTCTCCACTAACGCACGGAATTCAGAGGCGCGAGTACGCCAGCCCGAAATTACGCTGGATTACGCGCACACGAATGGTCACTCGACATGGGGAGAAAAAAATCCCTCAACGAAGAAGATGACGGGAACGCAACGTTGCGTAATCGTTCCCCCTCCTTCCCCCCCCCCCCCCAATCTTCCACACTGGTCCGTGAGTAATCGAAAAATCGATGATGAAAAACGCGTTGCGTATCTCTCCCCCTTTTTCTTCGTTAGGAACGAGACCAAGTTAAGGAAAAAATTCTTTTTGATGGAGTGTCTCGCGCGTGATTTCACGTGATTTTTCACGCGCGTCTCGATATCGCGATAAGAATGGAGTAGAAGAAGTAAGTAGAAAAATGATAACATTGACGAGCGTGTCTACGAATTATTCAATTTTCGCTTCTCATTTTTCCTCTTCTGCCTGCCCCCTGACTTTGTATCTTTAACAGATTTTATTTGGTTTCCAAAGATTCTCTATCTCTTTCTATCCCCCTCAAATAAGGCTGATACAAAATAAACAGGCGCAGACGAATCGATGCCGACTACTCAACCAAGACTAAACACCCGTTCCTCGGTAACGTCTAGAAATCGATAAACAAATGAACTGTGTAGAAAGACTTATTCTTTCGTTCTACACCTGTCCGTGTATTTAACTGTAATAACAGGTTTCCATGAAAATTACCACAACAATACAACGCTATCTCGCTTATTCGGTCAAACACGAAAGAAACGTTTCTCGGTCTTCGTGATAATTATTGTTTAGCTTCTAGCCATGATAATGAATGAAGAGGACGATGAGTTCTCGAGACTTACCGGTGAGTTTATCACGAATCAACTTGCAACTCTCAACCTCGCCAATGCTCGAGAAGAGGGATCGAATCTCATCTTGTGTCATGCTCTGGGGCAAATAATTTACTATGAGATTCGTTTTCGACTCTTCCTGCGAGGCCTGTCCGAGGGTGGATCCACCATTTTGTTGTACGACTGTGTCCATTCCGTTCGCCATCATTGCACTCTTCGACCGGGTCCTTTCTAACTACGTACGAAATCTGAAACAAGAAAGTATCATTTTAGTATCGAGTAACGAACAATCGATATCTTTTAACCTCTATCTTGTTAAGAATAATTTCGTCTTCTATTTTTTTTTGTTTTTCTCGATCGACAATACCTCCTTCTAAATCTTTTTTTATTAATGGGTGGCAATCCATCACCCAGTTGTTCGTTCATTGTAAAAGGAAAGAAGAGAGATTACTGGAAACGCAAGGAACAACGACGCTCGAAACCATTCGCAACTTTCTTCAATATATATATTTTTTTCAAATTATAATACATTCCTGTTTCTCGATTCAATGATTCGTAACTCCTTTTCATAATTATTTTTTTTCGAGGGAATAAATATTCAAATGATAAGAAAATTTCGATTGTTAAAGATTCTTAAGATCGACGCGAACGACGCGTTATTTATCGAAACAATCGCTCGACGAGAATATATAGAAGAATATATAGGAAGTAACAGACAAGTATAAACACGGGCCAAGCAAGAACTTCTGTGTCGACAGGGTTTTGAAGGACGTAAAAACGTGTTAATCAACACGTCGTACACGATGCACATGTTCACAGAGAACACAAGTTCGAAAAGAAAATCAGTTTTTGCTTATATCTGTATAAATATTCGCGTGGCAACAACAAGCATAGTTTTTGCCAGAGAAAACAAAATATTCTAATTAGATATATTTCGTAACGTTCTGAATTATTCAAACACCTATTTCGCCCATATTGGAGAACTTTTTATAATTTCAAAAAGATTTTGTTTTTTCGTTACGTTTGAACGATGAAGATCATTATCTATCTCATACATTAAATTACAAACAGCTGGACGCAAACAAGACGCGTGGCTTGATTATGGACGACTTGCGAAAAATTCATGGTTCACGCAACTGGATGCTGACGTAATCTGACAATGACTTTCAAAATACAGCGTGAAAAGAACAGGCAGAGGTGGTAGTTGGTAGGGAACGAGGGTAAGATCCAATAGAAATGCGGATTTAAAGGGGCGACGACCCCCCCCTTTCTGGTTTAAAGAGCTTGCCTCCCTCGTGCCTCTTCCCTTTTCCTTTCTGGCAAAACCACCGTGTTCGATACGTTTACAGGGTGTTCAATATCGATCGTATTTTACACCACTTTACATTCTCCTTAAAAATTTTCCAAATTTTTCTTTCCTCTCCAAGATACGATATTTTTTTATTACCTAACATAACTCACTTCAAAAACGAATTCTAATCGAATTAGATACGCAGTAACGAGAGGCGTCAATTTCTAATTTTTTCTCTGCTGGAGTTCACAGTTGCTGGTAGTTTCAATCGATTAAAAAAAGAGGATCTAAATTTCGAGACCTCACGATATATCTATTAATCTTTACGTTGTGCGTGGAAGAAATTAAACAATTTTATTCGAGACACCCGGTATGTGGTCGCACACGCCTCGAGCGAAAGGGACGAAAACCGAGCAAAATAGGAGAAGGAGAAGAAAAGAGAAGAGAGAAAGGGGAATTATACGCGATGGCCGTAGGGTGCCGATAGCGTTCATGGTTAAGGCTTATACACACAGCTGCCACGACACATATATCAAGCAGGCACGAGCTACCACTGGTGTACATTTTAATTCTCTCTTTCCCCTTCCGCCTCCTCGTCAGTTGTTCAACGTAGTCATCAGCTGTCCTTAGGACCACCCCACACGGGGAGCCTTCGAGTTTCATGACTGCGGTCACCCCAATCGAACTGACCACGTCCTCTCTTGAGATACCTTTTATTACACGCGATAGATAGCTTTTATTATATGCATCGAATGTGCCGGGGCCCATGTGATATGAAACGTGGGGAAATATAAACGTGGGACAATGAACAACTATAAATTTTTTACATTAAGCTCCTTCTATATCCTATCTTCCCTAAAAGTTTTAACATATTATTATTATTATTATTTTTATTACTAAAGAAGAATATATCGAAATGGACGAATCTTACAGAAGAATCTTAACTCGCAATGGATGGATGTTATCCCTCTTATATTTATATTATATCTATATTATAATCTATTATATTATTATTGATAATTTCGTGTTGAAAACGAATTTCGCACAAATGTAACAAGATCGAACTCTTGTCGACGGGAAAAATGCCGACGCTATTTTTCATCAACGAATTTTCATCACCGTTCGGCCGGTGTTTACGAACGAGGCGAAGAAAACAGGAACGCGTTCAGCAGTCGGAGAAAATGTCGGAGCCAGCAGTTATCGTAGCCCCGCATCTTCCGTAGTTATCGATCCATGCTCTCTCCCTGTCTCTCTTACACTCTCTGCTCGGCATCGCGATATTTTAGGACGGCACAATGGAAGCCGAGAGACCCCATTGTCGGGCGAGGAGAGTAACGCATCGGAAAAGTATCGTTCGCCGTTGACTTCGAAACGCGACTCCTGTGCTACCGTCATTATACAACGACAATGGACGTTACGCATGGCTGCGTGTACGCGCAAACTGGGGTTATCCGCGACACAATGCGGAAAGCCACCCCTTTTCGCCAGACCCGGGGTTCGCAAAAGTCGACCATCTTCCGGGGAATCGCGCCGCGACAAACAACTTTCAACGCATTATGTTACGCACTTTCCACTTTGATTTTAATCGCTTTCAATTCGAAACAATTTAAATTTACGTCCAATATTCCGAAAATAAAAGAAACTCGAAAGATTTCCAGACTGTTATACGAGTAGATTTCGATTGGTTATACGAGTATATTATGAACGAGATATGAAAATGTTATTAATATATCTAGAATATAATGTAACGTAACGTAGAAAGAAACGAAAAAAAATTACGACGAGATTGAAATATATTCCTCGTTTCGGGTAAAAAAAAAAGATAATTAAAGATTTTCACGAAGAGAATATAAATTTGCAAGGAAGGTTAGCAGGTGGGTCAAGCCGGGGGTTAAAGTTTGATTTTTATGTACGCTTGGCAGATACGATCTTCGGCCGGTGGCCAGGTGGCCATGGCGACGGATCGTGAAAATCGCGTGGCCGGGACCGATCAATACGAGCGCGACTCCTCGGTCTCTGCCTCGCTCGTTCTCCCCTACCACCCCTTCTCTCGCTCATTCTCGCTCGCTCGTGTCCAGGAGCTCTCTCACTCTCTCACTCTCTCTTTCTCTCTCTCTCCCTCTTTCTCTCGTTTCTCCGTTGCGCACACGAGACCTCTTCCTCTGGCTACAATTCCAAGGGAATCCCCTCCTCCCGCGCCCCTCAAGTACGCCCCTTTCCGCGCGAGAAAACACACACGCACGTACACGCGACACGCGAAAACGCAGTAAGTCGTTTCTGTTATCGAAAAGAAATAGCAAAGCGGCAGTAGAGGAGAAAGGGGTACAAAAGAGGCTTGCTCGAAGGCAAGTGGCAGTCGGAGCGGAGGTGGGAGTGGAGAGGGGGAAGGGTGGCGTGGAAAAAGAAAGACTACGACGAAAGCACGCAGGAAGCAAAGGGTGAGAATGAGAATGTGTCACGAAACTCGCAAGGCACGTGCTCTGAAACCTTCTTGAAGGACGTATTGCTCCGCGCACAACATCTGTGTGTATATCTTCGACCGAAATGTTTTTGCGACTCAATTCGAGCTTACCTTTCTTCCACTGTCTTTACAGGATCCACCTTTTTATCGATGCACGCGAGAGCACACGACACACATCCACACAATAAACACAGAGAACACCTTTTTTTTCTTTCTCCTTCCGCGAGACGCGACACACTCTCTCTTCCCGTACTTCTTTTCTCTCCCTCTCTCGACGTTACTTTTCCTTTCTTTCCTTCCGAAAACTCTTTTCGGTCGCACGCGAAACCGAGCAACGTGCAACTATTAAACGACTGGTCGATGAATCGTGCCGGTCCCTGCTCTTCTCTCTGACTCTCTCTTTACGTGCACCTACTATCACGCTCTCGCACCGCCGCCCGGAACAGAAGGGGAAATCAATGAAAGAAAAGTACGACGCGAGCGCTCGTAAATCGGCATTTATGCTCGCCTCCTGGTCGACAGTCCTTTGGTTTCACTTTGACGAGCACATGTGTGAGTGTACGTGTAAATGTACGAGCGGCGAGCCGAAAATTATTCACGTCCGATATCGTCGAAAAACGAGATCACCAAATTTCGTCGATCGTCGTCGAAAAAGAAAACGAGGGAGTACATACAGTGTGTGTAATGTGTGTGTATGTGTGTGTGTGTGAGCGCGCGGATTTAAAGAATAAAATGCAATATACGCGTATATGTATATATATATATGTATATATATATATGTGTGTGTGAATGTGTAGAGGGTTACGCGAGACTAGAAATTAAAGCGTTAAATACTATACTAAGGAAACGGAAATAACGATATAACACGGGCGGAGGCTGCCTAGAGACTGGACACACCAGCCGCTTGAAAGCGGCTTGCACAGCCCGACGAGCTCGATCGGCCGAAGTCGGCCTAGCTCGGGCGCGGTCGCGCACCCTCGGCTAAGCTCGTTGCCAACCCACTGCAAACCCCTCGTTATTACGTATCTCCTCCTACCAACTCGCACGTATGTACTCGTATGCTGCGAGGGGTTGCCGATCGAACTAATAAGAGACGTATGCGCGTTCTTAAATAAACTGTGACCTCCCATCGTCGATCGAACTGGCTCCCTTGCCCTCCCCCCTCCTCTTCATCCTTTTCCCCTTTGTCGAATTTTAATAAATTTCGAATCTTCACATTATATTTTATCCCAGGATTTTAAATTTTTCCCCTTTTACTCCGTATCGTATCCTCGCAATTGTTACAATTTAATAAAGGTTTCGATAACGAGTCCGCGATTTTTTATTTATTCCGGTGTTAAAACGATTAAAAAAAAAAAAAAATAACACCTGTCATTTTCTTTAAATTGCATCCAGTTAACAAGAGGGCTGACAACCTAGGGGCCGTTCACGCGCAATATTTCAGTATCCCCCTCAAGATATTTGCAGGGGTTTGTTCGTTAGGAAATGTTTGCAACATGGCTCCCTGGCATTACGAGGCAGAAGGTATGCCGCCCTCTTGCCTCCCTCTCGCCGCTTGCATCACCCCTTGCATCAGATCATGACCACCCCTTCACGGTTTTTGACCCCCGTCGTCTCAGCGCGCTATCGCGTCGATACAAGAGTCCTTTTACCCCTTACGAGGCCGCACTCGATCGGTAGTGAACTCGAAACCATGAATTACATCGTCAAAACTTATTGGTGGCCATTTGCCAAAGACCATGAAATTGAATTTTTCTTGAAGAGAAAAAAATACACGACTCGCGAGAGTTGTCAAAGTCCAAAGATGAAAAATCGAGGAGGATGATGAACTCGTCTGAATCTATCTCATTTCAATCGTTCTCCTTCGATCTATGCATCGTTTCTTCCTACAACGCACGTTTCTGCTAGATCTGTTGAATATTTAGTGAAGTTTTGAACGCAAATTTCATTTCAATTTCGTTACTGTGTGGATAATTCGAATCATTTTCCAAGAAAAAAAAAAAAAGATGTGAACATCCAAGCTGCATCCCTGACCTTACCCTGGCTTTATCTTCGAAGATCGAGAGAATGCAGTCTCTAAAATGACGGCGAGCCAAAATTATGCGATGCTGACGAAACAAGCCGAGCAACACTTGGCGGTCGTGCCAATAACCGCGAGTTCGTGTTTTCGGAAATTCGTTTCCCTTGTATTACATCATCATACAGAATGAACTATTTTGTCAGAACTTCCTGAAGAACTCGATTCTATAATGTACCTTCACTTTAAAATTCGCCTAATTAAATATTATAATCGCCTAGTTGAAACTTAAAGACACAGAGTACGATGAATTCTCGATAATTTGTTATTCCTTTTTAAAAAAATACAGAGAAATCATTGTCACTTATCGATTCAAAATCACGAATACAATATCATTAAAATTATAAATACGTTCACGTATAAACACCATAAATACGAAGAAATCTGTCTCATCATCCATCCAATCTGATTTCATAGATCCAAGTGAACTATATAATTTGTACTTCGCTGATCCTATATTTCTTATTCTACAATCGCTACAAAAAAAAAAAAATAAATCTTCTAGCATATATGCTAATCCTCATAATCAAAGGAACGATCTTTTCGATTGACTTCCTGCTTTTGTTAGACATGAACGATTGACCAGGTTCTTTGCGTATTACGTACATGACCGGACCTAACATCGGCCAAAGAAAGAGAAGGAGGGAGCAAGCCTGTATTGTATCTAGCCGCATGAGAAAAAAGGGAACGAAACTGGGCACAGGACTTGCAACAGATGCGAAACGGTATGCAAAAAAAAAAAAGAGGAAAAAAAATAGGGACACAGTGGACGCATATGTGAACGTGTTCCATTATGCTCGGTGTGGCTTTAAAACCGGCCACACGGTGCGACAGGAAGTTGTCACCGCATTACCGTTGGAATTATGAAAGTTTGCCGGCCTCTGATCGCCTTAGCGACAACGAACGAGCGAAACGATATTCAGACCATCGAACCGAAAGGGAAATTTATTCGAAATCATTCTAATCGCTTCTCCGACCATCCATACGTGAATCAATCCTCCGTAATTTTGACTAAGAGGTATATATTTTTCGAACATTTAGATGCAGAGAATGGCCAGGGTGCCAACGAGAATGATGATTTACCATTTTCCGGTATATCGGATCAAAGCCGTGAAGAGACATAAATTGTGAATCATTCGTCGAGACTACAAAACCGTAGTACCGAGCCAACCCTCCTCTTTCGTTCCTGGTTATGATCCAGCTGTCGAAGCAACGTTTTTGGGGTTTGGCCCCACCTTCATCATCGATCCGCCGGTACGCTCGTGCACGAGCATAATTCCACCCATACTCTGCCACAGGGAGAGTAATAATTCTGTCCGTGAAGTTTTTCCAGGGTCACTGAACCCTTGACGAGATTCGTCGATAATCTATCCGACTATCCTATCGATATTCTCACGAATCCTATTAATGGCTCGAGGCGTGACAAAGACGAGCTGGAATGGAACTAACAGGAAGATCAATGGCAAACTTGGTTAGTGAAAATAGCTCCCTAAATATCCATGTATAAAATATGCAAGGGGATAAATAATTATAAGGGGCGTATAAAATAATTTCTATCCTAGGAGGAAACCTTCGATGAGATCAATTGGATATATATTTCGTTAGAAAATAGTATGATTGGAAATAGGGATGATAATTTTAATAAACATTTGCGCAAAATGGACGAAACCCCCCCTAACCCCACTTAGGAAATATAACGAAGATCGATCAAACGCGCATCGTCGTGCTAATTAAGGTGCAACCGATCGATTTGTTTTTTCCTTGTAGCAACTCTTCTTCACTTTTTTGCCTGTTTTCTCGTAATATAAATATGCATCGATTCATGATCGTCCCTCTCTCGTCAGCCAATGATCGCATCACTAAATATTCAGGGAAACCTTACGACGTCTTCTCGAAGTCCACAAAAGGTGATTACGTAAAGTAAACATAAATGTGGAGAGAAAAGAAACGGTTGGTTCAGTCGTGATGAAATATTCCACGTAATGAAATAATATCATGAGTTTGACGAGTTGCATTCTGAACTGAAATGAAAATTTCAATCTATCGAAATTATGAATTATCACCGAATTGAACTTATACCGATAACCGATACGCATGATTGACAGAGAGAAAGGAAAATAATTGGGGTTGCGATTAACGAGACTCGTACAATCTTTCCTCGCAGAGGAAATTCGAAATTAGCTATAAAAATAAGCGATAATATCAAACGAGGCGGAACAATTTTTGCACGTATATTTTTTTCTCGTTGACGACATTATTTGTTCAAAGGCCAAGGATAAATTTAATAGGCGTGCGGTAACGATTACCTCCGCAACCCTATATATTCGTATCGTTATCGTCCTCGAGAACTCGTTAGGAGAATTAGCATCGGCTCTCTTTAAACTCGAACGAAGTTTCGATGGATTATCGGTACACGCATCCGTAGGGGTGGCATTGGGCACTCGCTGTGTTGTCAAGTATTAATACCGTAAATCTCTGAAGGGGGACGATGCGTGTGTGCGATATTACGTATGATGGACGAAGAATCGCGGAAAATCGAGAGAAAAAGAATGACGAATGGACGGAGGGAGAGGGAAAGAGAGGAAACAGGGTGAGACACAGAGGTAGAGAAGCTCCATTGATTGGTCGGTGGCATGGTAGAACGTTGCAGTCGCCCTGGGGGTATATGAACCCCGGTACGGCTCTCTCTCTCTCTCTCTTTCCCTGTCTCTCTCTCTACTTCTCACTCTTTCCCACCCTCCTCCCCACAGTTTACCCTCGCTACGATTCTACCCCACGGCAAAACGCAGGCGCGTCACATGGACCCAGAAACGATCAATACGAGCTTCCCCAACTAGACCTAGTCTCTTTCTCCCACACGCTGCTTTTCTCTATCCTTCTTTCACATATACATTCTGCTCTATCATCCTCCTACTAGGCTCGCAACCCTCGGTCAATCTTTGATATCGCGTTATTCGGTTGAGAATTTGGATTGGAAAATATCTGAAAGAGAAGAACATTGTTAGTTCTACGATACATTTAATTATTGTTTCACTCATTTTCTTCTCTCGCTGTATACATATTTATATATATATATATTAATTTTCCTTTTCGTTTCCTTAATACAAACTGAAATGAAATAATTTCACGAGCGAAACGGCTAAATAAAAGATGGCACCTAGAAAAAGACGGAACGGAAATAGAATGAAACATAGGAAGCGATAAAGACCGTATTCTTTGAAACTCAACGTTCATTTGGCACACTATCTAACACCCCTTTATCCCTCTCACGCACCATTGTGATCGAGGCCATCGCGGACGGAAGTGTCCCTCTCGAGACTTCCTGCTTGTCCTCGACGAGGACCCGCAGTGCCAGTTGCTCCATCCTGGATCTGCTTGATCCTTCATGCACACTCTCGCCGTTTTCCATCACTTGTTACCGAATTATATTCAACGTATTCGCTCGTTTCAACGTGTTTTTTTTTTTTTTTTTTTT